TTTTTTTTTTTTCAGTTTTTCTTTTGATGCTGTTTTAGTGTTTTTTGTTTATTTATTCTTTTAGCACTAATCAAATATTACTCTCTCGGAAGCCCATAACGTCTATAATCTTATTAATCAGCTTCATTTTTTTTTTTTCGGTTTTGGCAGCTGCGAACGTACTGTCTGCCGGAAGTAGTTGACCGCAGTTTTTGCTGCTTATAAGCTTAGATAAACAGAATGGTAATTAATTGGCTGAATAATCGTTAGTTGAATGGTAGATGAATGAATGACTGACTGAGTGACTGACTGACTGGTTCGAAAGAATGAATGAATGAGTCTAATAGATTGGTGGTGGAAACCAGTAGTTTGTTTCATATGAAGATTTATTAAAATTGATTGGATAAGGTTAGCAAGAGAGAGACAGAAACACGTACAGAAATATATCTGTTAGATTCAAAAATATGAGAATTTTTAGGATAAGCAAAAAAATAAAAATGTCAAAGAGTTCCTGCGAAAGCAGTTGCAATCGATGAAAAAATACCAAAATGATTTGTTACTTGACTTCAGTATTTTTCGCATCACTAAATACCAAAGTGTCGTCACACTTGCAAATACTATTCATCGGCAGTGAAGCAAAGAACAAAAAGTAAATTAAAACTAAAGCAGAAAAGTAAGAGATTTTTGGACTGAACAAATTCTTGCTATCTTTTTTTTTCTTTTCCCTACTGTATATCGTCAGTGCAGATGTTGATAAAGTTTTAGCACTTTTTCATTACCTTATTGCCAACAAAAAAAGGGTACAAAACAGTGACCTAAGTTTAAATTCAAATAACAGACATTGTCAGTTAAAGCTAGCCAGTGAGAAATGAAATTTAAAAAACTAGCTAATATTAGGATCTCCTGCACTACAAATATATGTATATGTTCCGTTATTGCGCGTCTTTTCTAAAATTTCAGAACTGTGGGTCGTGAGTGGTTGATTCTTTTTCTTTTCAAATTTTCTATTTTTGGTCAACCAAAAAATGGCTCTGAAAAATCTGATTTTTTTCATCTGTATCGAC